ACAGCCTACACACAGCGCTGGCCACGTCCTGGATCTCACCTTCTCTAACATCCCTTTTGCCCAGTCTGCTGTTGACGCTAGCATGCACAGCGGCTCAGACCATGAGACAATAGTGACCTCTATCCCTATCTCCACACCGGGCACTCGGCACCTAGAGCAGCACCACTACAGAGTCCCAGAGGCAAACCTACCCAAGTTCACTGGGCTAGTAGAGATAGGAGTCCAGAACATCCCAGACCCGCTGGCCACACAGGAGGCATCACAGCTCAATAAGTGCGTTAGGCTGCTCACAGAGACTATAGAGCACGCGATACAGACAGCAGGCAGATGCGCCCGTAAGGAAGGCCGCGCTGCACCTTGGTGGACAGAGGAGTGCAAAACTGCCTACCAAGTCTACAAACAGGCGCAACAGCTCTGCTCTAGCTATCTACCTAAAGAGAGAAAGACCTCTAAGACTACAGTCTAACAGGCAAAGAGACAGTACTAGAGGCATATAATTAACAACGCCAAGAATAACAAAGACCTGTTTAAGATTATTGCCTAGCACAAGCTCTTGCTAGAGAACTAAGACGCTCTGCTTGTAGTAAACAACGTGGCTATATCAGACCCCCTAGAGAAGGCAGAGGCCCTTAGAGAGGAGGTCCTCAACTGGTTTGGAGCAGAGGACGACCTCAGGCACTGCCCAGACCAGGAGAATGCAGATACCCTCCCGTGGAGCACGCACATCTCACTAGAGGAATGTGAGCGAAATACAATAGGGGTCTCCAGCACCTCCCCAGGCACCGATCGCTCTACTGTGCGACTACTCCGTGCCTGCTGGGCTCAGGTTAGGGAACTTATACGAAGAATCTTCCAGCAGTGCCTTAAGCTCAACTACTTCCCAGCACAGTGGAAGCTTGCTGAGGTAGCTATGATACCTAAGGCTGGGAAGACAGACCGAACGTCACCCCGCTCCTGGAGACCTATAGCGCTCCTCTCCTGCATTGGGAAGGGACTTGAACGAACAGTGGCCAGACGAATTGCGTGGACAGCCATGACCCACAAGATCCTCAGTCCCCAGCATGGAGGCGCCCTACCAAAGCGCTCTGCAGCAGACCTCACCGCAGCGTTCACCCACAACACTGAAGCTGCATGGGTACTTAGAAAGCATGTCACTATAGTCACCCTAGATGTACAAGGCGCTTTTGATGCCCTCCTTAAGAACTGCCTGCTACACTAGATAGCCTAACAGGGCTGGCCACAAAGGACTATCCTCTTTGTAGACTTATTCCTTACTAACTAGAGGGTTCAAGTCTGCCTTAGCCAGGTCACTACCCCTAGCTACCCTGTCGCCTGTGGCACACCCTAAGGCTCGCCTCTCTCTCCTGTCCTGTACACACTGTATCTAGCCAAGCTACTGTCTATAGATACAGAATAGAGATTTGGATATGCAGACGACATATGTCTATACCAAGCCTTACATTCTATAGACAACAACGTTGAGCTCCTAGCATCAGACCTAAGGCAGATTAGAGCATAGGGAGAGGCTAACAAGGTTACCTTTGCTCCAGAAAAGCAAGAAATAATACACCTAACTAGGCAACGAAGTAGCTACGCACCACCCTGTGTTGTAGATGAGCAGCTCACAATCCACCCTATCCTCCCGGGTGGAGAGCACAGCCAGCCAGCCCTGCGCTCGCTAGGAGTGTGGTTTGACCGCAGACTTACCTTTAGACGTCATGTAGCCACACTCTTTATTTAAAATAATTTAAAAGCTAGAGAGTAGCTGTGCGCGCTTTTAATATTAAATAACACATTCTCTCTGCACGCATTAGAGGAGCCCTATTTATCCTTAAATAAGCACCTAACAGCTGCAAACTTACACTTATAGAAGAGCAAATGATTGTCTAATATATCCTTAACCTAGATTCGTAAGGATTCGCGCCCTGGCTGTGCGAGGTAGCAGATATGGCTGATAAAGTGTTGGGTGTACGCGGTGGGCAGCTGGTTGGCAAGCACTAGGCTGAGCGCTTTGTAACGCGCTCAGCTGAGCTTAAGATGGCCTTCAATCGAGCTAAAGATAGGCAGAGGATACTGCAGGAGGATCTAGAGACAATTGGCGCGTGGTTTAAGCTGGTAGAGGACACTAGAGCTAAGTACAGCGTACACAACTACAACATGCACAACTTTAACAAGACTAGCTTCTAGATAGGTGTTATTAGCTTAATAAAGGTTGTTACAGGCGCAGAGAGGCGTACTTAGCCTGAGCTTGTTCAGCCAGGTAATCGCGAGTGGGTAACAGTTATCTAGAGCGTCTGCGCTGCTAGATCTTATACCCCACCTTTTATTATCTATAAAGGACGCGTTCACATCTCTGCCTAGTATAAGGAGGCAGATATACTGCGCAATTAGAAGCTCTTAGTCTCTCAGAATAGCTAGACAAATAATGTGCTTAGTCTAGAGTAGTTAAAGCACTTTAACGCGCATACAAAGGCAGGCTAGGTAGGGGCGTACAGGCTGCTTATTTTAGACAGCCATAAGAGCTACCTTAACTAGGATTTTAAGGACTACTGCCTTAAACATAAGATCCTTACCCTCTGCATACTACCTTAGTTATTACACATCCTCTAGCCACTTAATATAGTCTACTTCTTGCTATTAAAGCGCAAGTACTCTTAGCGTGTATAAGACTTAGCACATAAGTGCGTCTTCTATATTAATAAAGAAGGCTTCCTACTAGCCTTTAAAGACGCGTTTTATAATATATTTATAGAGGCAATCTATTACAAGGCCTTTAAGGCATTAGGACTTGTCCCTCTTAATGCATAGGTTGTATTAGATTGCCTTAAAGTGCAGCTGCATACCCTGCTAGAACCCCTCCTCCTAGAGACGCTGTGGCAGTTAAAGACTCTAAGCAATACACATAAGTTTAGATTGCAATTAAAGCTTGTATACAAGTCCTTTACTTATTCTCCTATTACTACGCAGGCAGGCTTCTCTCAGCTTATTAGAGGCGGTGAGCTTATGCTGCATTAGAACGCGCTTCAAGCAGCCCGGATTACTGAGCTTGAAGAGCAATTAGCAGTGATGACCAAAAGGAAATCGCCCAAAAGGAAGCGGATCCAGCATGGCGGCACAATGGAGTATGGTGAGGCAGCAGCCTAGGTGGCCGCAGAGGCCTCTATAGCCGCTGAGCGGTCGAAGAAGGCTCGTCGTGGTGGTGATCAAGAGAGAGCCTAACTAGCTTTACGGCGCTGTAGGAACTGCAGTAAGACTAGGCACAACGCGCAAATGTGTAAAAAGGATGTAGAGGAGACTTCTAAATTAGAGGTTAGTACAGCGTACGCAGGCTCCTTGTATAATAGCAATAAAAATAGAAATTTGTAACTAGTGTTAGTTGTGCCAAGACATTTTGAGCTGTTGGGTGGTTTAAGCTGTTGGGTGGTGGAATACGTTACCTACTGTAGATAAGAGTATGTGGCACTCTTAAACCCTACAGAACATCCTAGAATTTAGGTTGCAATTAAAGCTTATTTAAGAGAGGATTTAACAACATAGTAATAGCTCTCTAACTTCAATAGTTAATGCTCTTAATTAGTTTACTTAGGGCGCAGAGATGATGGCGCATTTACTAGTTTTAGTGCGGAACTAGGTCACAGAGCTTTAAGCTGCTAATAAGGCCGCTACACGCCATAAATTACACAAGAGGAGGTAGATCTAGAGGGAGGCGACTCTCACTGTTAGTGAAGAAGTGCGCTTAACTACCCTAAAGGAGTTTAAAGCCTATAGTAATAGGAAGAAGGCAAGCAAGAAGAGGCGCGTTAAACCAGGCACTCAGTCTTTACAACACTGTAGCAGGTGTAGTAAGGCAGGGCACAACGCGCGAACGTGCATAAAAGATGTGCAAGATACTGTAGATTAGTGATGTATACTGTAAGTTACAGTAACTTGCTGTAATATGCAAGAGAAGTTAAGATTTGGTGTGGTCTTGGCAAAATCCGGTCACTCGCCCGGGCCGGCCACTCGCCCGTGAGGTACGTTGAAAGTTATTAACTATCTTAAGACCTATAAGGATCTTGTGATAACGTACAAAGCTCCTTATAGTGCCACACTTACTATTAACATGTTTGTTAAGTTAGCTCCTACCAACCTAGGTCTCTACAGGTACTCTAATACTTCGTTTACTAATAACAAAGACCGCAAGTCCACCTACATCTATCTATTCAAGTTAGCTAGTGGGACTATCTGTCACAAATACGTTTAGCAGAAGCTTGTCACCACCTCCACAACAGAGGCAGAGTACGTGGCCATGACCTTCGCAGCTAAAGAGGCCACCTACCTAGCTTTACTGGCTGCTTTACTAACTTAGCTACAAGTCTAACAATACTCACCCTATTAAGCTGTTCAGCCACAACAAGTCTTCTATTAAGCTTCTCCAAAGTGACAGCCACTATGAGCGTACTAAGCATTTGGATATCTACTATCACTACGTTAAGGAGCGCGTCTGCGATAGTTATCTCACAGTTGAACACGTCCACACGACAGCTATGGCTGCTGACAGCCTTACTAAACCTCTTAATCGCGTAGCTCACGAGCGATTTCTCTGTCAAATCAGCCTCAGCAAGCCTACAATTGTTAACAACACCACTAACAGCACCTCTAACGTCACCACTGGGCTGACAATTAACAGCAACTGCTAGACGACAGTGTCAGCAGCCACACACAAATTGAGTACAATGGAGGACAGGATAGGCGACAACAGGCGGAGGATAGTTAGGGTTACCATGTTTCCAGCGTGAGCTTCCGGAGCTTCAATTCACTCGCTGTGGGGGTGTGTCCGCGCAGGGCAGCGCTTCTCATAGGCCAGCTCGCTTCTCGATTGGGTTAGGTCTCCCGCTTTCACGCACTGTAGATAATCGCTCCCTCAGGTAGACTCGATCGACAGTTCACATAGCCACACTCATCAACTTCGGTGCCTTAAGCCGTGCTATACCTGTTGCACTTTCCCTTGTCTGTTTATGTCCCTCCACTACTCTGCTTGTTACTTAACTTCTAAACCTAACATGCCTATTGTAAGTTCTGCTGTTTAGGTCCTTTGCTGCAGATAGCGCTCACGTCCTGTTGTACTGCGTTAGCTTTGCAGCACTATTATTTTATACTGCAGCTAACATTAGGAAGGACGAGTCTCCTGCTAAAAAGCGTTGTTATGCTAAGGCGTTAGTCGCCTCTAGCGTCCTGCTGTCCAGCGCGTTAATTGCGGCCAACAGGGAGCTTTTCCCTGCCAACATGCTCGCCACCCTGTAGACTGTCACCAAGCGCAGCTCTAACTCTGCCCAAGACGCGTCTGTGCCTAATCTAGAGGTGTGTATTTACTGCGTGCTTAGCTACTAGGTTTGTGTCTTTAATAGCAAGATGTCTTGCAAGTTCTGCCATGACAAGAAGCGCACTTGCCGCAAGGTATATTCTCTGTTTCTGCTTAATAGCTTTATGCAAATTAGCTCAAGTTATTTCTCAGCCTCCCTGCAAGACCTTTAAAGCTTAAATCCGTGCCTGCTATCTCTGTAAAGTGCTCTCTAACAACAACAACTGTAAGCGCGAGCTACTACATCGGGAAAAGTTTTTCCGTTGTCGAAATCAGGAAATCGTGGCATTGTACTATAGGTAACAGTAGGACTTGTAGGCCTACAACAGTTATTTAATGTGTATTTAATGTCTAGCTAATTTTAAGCTAATAGCTCTAATAGTCCTAACAGCTGTAATAGCTATAATAACTCCTAATCCTGCTATAATAGTAGCTCTGCTTAATAAACTATACTTTTATTATATTAATATACTACTAAGTCTCCTCTTTAAAATAAGCTATTAAATAATATTATAGGCCTAGTAATAGAATAGTTATTAAGTGTAGAAGGTTTTAAGCTTAATATTCCTTGCTAAGACACTAAGTTAAGATTCTTTACTAGGGCTCTAGCAGCCTGAATGTTAGAAAATATAAGAATATTATTTAAGAATAGTAGGTAAACTAAGAATTTTACGCCTGGGCCTGCCTGTTCAGCAAGCTCCTGGTGCGCTGCTGCAGTGTGTGTGTGTGTGTTGTGGTCAGCAGGTGCTATGCTGTATGCTGTTGCAGCTGCTACGTTGTGTGCGGGCGCAGCTGCAGCTGCTATGGTGTGCTGTCGCAACTTCAAAACACAAACCTTTAACAAACAAACCTTCAACACTCTATAACTTGCGTTGTAGTAGTCCTACAATAAAAACTTTTTGCTTATTTTAAAGCTACAATTTCGCTCTATCTGTATATAAAATTTTGTAATTTTTAAATATTTAATGCTAGTGCTAGCACTAAGGGTAGCTATGCAATAATATTGTAATATTATTTTAAGTTTATTAAATATAGGTACTTAGTGTTTTAGCTGTTAGCAATATTAGTGCGAAATTAGGGCTATTAGGCGTAAATTAGGGCTATTAGGGCTATTAAATAGCTGTTGCACGACTATGCCACGACTGTTAGCAACAGTCGGTCTAGGCTGGATTTCGAAAAACTTTTACTGATGTAATTAGCAACCTCACTTAAGACGTCGCTGCAGCTCTTAAGCACTAACTGGAGCTCCCCCGCCTTCGCGACCTAGCATCGTGGCCTAGTAACTCAGGCTACAATAGTGAGTGGTCTGGCTACGAGGACAATCTTAAGGCTGAGCTTGCTAACCTAGATAGCACTCTCAGCGTCACTAGGAAGGCTCTTGAGACCTCTGTTAAGGCCGTGGCTGTTCTTAAGTAGCTAGGCAAGGACATTAAGGAGCTTGTCTTCTAGATAAAGCTAGTTGTAAGTGCATTCTCTCGGATCTTGCTCTTTGTCCTTGTGCTGACATTGTGTTGCGGTATGAAGAGCAAATGTATATTACGAGTGTATTGTGTTCTGTTTGTTGTTGTCGTGTTGCTTGTATCTTTGCTCGCCAAGGCTCGCTGCGGGGTTTGTTTTGATGACGTCTTTGTGACGCAGCTGAGGTAAGAGGTGCTCATCAACATGAGGAAGTAGCACCAGACCACCGCCAACAACATGTGATCCGCTTCTCCTCTCAACCGTTACACATTGTCTTTGTGCAAGTAAAACACAGTGCTGACCACACGCGTTAGCTTAGTGAGCTTAAGGAGCTTGCTAAGGCTTGTCTCCCTAAGGGTGCTGGTTAAATTTCTAATTCTGTTGGCAAAGCTGCTGTTAATACCCTTAGCTAGAAGAGTGGAGAGCTCCGCCAACAGTTCTGGGGTTTAGGCTAGGATAGTAGTGATGCTAACGCAGACAATAGTTCTGCCTCTCCTTAAAGAGGTTAATGTTGTCCTAATAGTCTTCTAGAGTTCTTAGTGTCCCTGTAGATACCTAGCCTAAGTGCTAATTATGGTCTTGTCTTCTTTTCACGTGTGTACTCTGTTCTCCTGCTCTTCCCTCCCCTTCTACATCTTCTACAGTAGAAGATAGCTTCTGTTCAATCCTTCTAAGCCACCTACATTAGGAAAAGTTTTTCGAAATCCGGCCTAGACTGGCTGTTGCTGACAGTCGTGGCATGGTTGTGCAACAGCTGTTTAACAGCCCTAACAGCCCTAATTTGCGCCTAATAGCCCTAATTTCGCACTAACATTGCTAACAGCTAAAACACTAAGTGCCTATATTTAACAAACTTAAAACAACGTTGCAACGTTGTTGCATAGCTACCCTTAGTTCTGCTAGCACTAGTATTAAATATTTAAAAATTGCGAAATTTCACGTACAGATAGAGCGAAATTGTAGCTTCAAAATAAGCAAAAAATTATTATTGTAGGCCTACTACAACACGAGTTATAGAGCGTTGAAGGTTTATTTGTTGAAGGTTTGTGTTTTGAAGTTGCGACAGCACACCACAGCAGCTGCAGCTGCGCCAGCACACAATGTATCAGCTGCAGCTGCAACAGCACACCACAAAGCACCTGCCAACAAGCACACACTGCAGCGCAGGCAGGCCTGGGCGTAGAATTCTTGGTTTACCTACTATTCTTGAATAATATTCTTATATTTTCTAACATTCAGGCTGCTAGAGCCCTAGCAAAGAATCTTAACTTAGTGTCTTGGCAAGGAATATTAAGCTTAAAACCTTCTAACGTACTCTATCACCAAGCCAGTCATATCACTGAACTGGTCACTTAAAATCCCACCAAAAAACACAGAAACCATACCCCTGCATCTCAATAACTACTTAATAGAATCTTCTAAAAACTTCAGAATAGAGCTGCATCTATACTAATAAAACTATTTAAAAGTCTTAGACTAATAGCTAGTATAGATGTTGAGATAGCCTGCAGCTACCCCTGTATTTTAGTATCTTCTGAACAACATCTGCAATATAGGGCTAAGCACTCTAAGACTTTTAAACAGTCTTATTAGTATAGATGCAGCTCTATTCTGAAGTTTTTAGAAGATTCTATTAAGTAGTTATTAAGATGCAGGGGTATGGTTTCTGTGTTTTTTGGTAGGATTTTAAGTGACCGGTTTGGTGATATGACCGGCTCGGTGATAGAGTACGTTATGCTTAATAACTATTCTATAAATAGGCCTATAATGTTATTTAATAGCTTATTTTAAAGAGGAGACTTAGTAGTATATTAATATAATAAAAGTATAGTTTATTAAGCAGAGCTACTATTGTAGCAGGACTAGGAGTTGTTGTAGCTATTGCAGCTGTTAGGACTGTTAGAGCTGTTAGCTTAAAATTAGCTAGACATTAAATGCACATTAAATAACTGTTGTAGGCCTACAAGTCCTACTGTTGCCCACAGTACAATGCCACGATTTCCTGATTTCAACAACGGAAAAACTTTTCCCGATGTAGTAGGGTAGCTCGCAGTAAAACTCTACTAGTAAGTTCCTGTCCTTGTCCCTCTTCTCTACTGTTGTCAGATATTAGGTTACTGAGGAAAGGTTGGCAGGGCCGGATCTGTACAGAGACATTACTTAGAGATCTTAGCCAAGTTCAGCAAGTGAGGCAGGGGCCCACAGACTAACCCTAATAATTAGCAACACGCTGTAACGGGCTAGGCCCGATGGTAGCGCCTCGGCGCTCGCCGGCCTCGGCCAACCTCCGAGAGGAGGTGCCTGCCCTGCTGTACCCCCAGTCAGGAGGTCCCAATCTTGACTAATTGTGTAATCTCCGCACGGAGGACATAAAATTCTGCAGACCTCTGCCTGCAGCCACTTCTTAACAAATCTGTTTAATTCATACTTGCAAATAGCCTGCAGAGGCTAGCTCCTTATATTTAGATTTATTTATCCTCTTTATTTATTTATTTATTAAGCACCTGTAAGGAACCACTTATAATAAGCAAAAACGCTAACGCTGTTGTAGGGCGCCTTATTAAATACAGAATTAAACTCTGCTTGAGTACTAACTCCTGATCAGACGTTTGCACAGAATTGCAACACTGCGTGAGCACTCTAGCACCTGCGGAATGGCTAGAGACCATTTACAAACCCGCTCTGACTCTGTTGGCCACTCACTTGGCCTGGGCCGCCCTGCCTGAAGATACAATTAGGTTGCTAGAGGTTAAACAGCTAACAACTAGACCTCTAAACCCTCCACAAACACCTTAGCAATCCTAACTAATTGTTAATATAACAAATAAATACATACAACAGGCTATCTAAGCAGGTATACAGGTGTATAAGGACGAGGAACAGTAGAGATTAGCAACAGCTAACATCGCTCCTGCCCTAATAACAGCTGCTACTGTAACCTAGTTAGGCTTCACAAAGCTTAAGCTTCCTAATGTAGGGAAGTTTAATAGTAACTGCTAACATGGTTGGCAAGCGAGTCGGTCAGACAAGCGAGTTGGTCACCCTACCAACTTTTGCAACTTCAAAGCGATATATCTCAACAACGTGATAATATTATTGCTAGATATTAATATAGTAGTGGCCATCAATAATAAGCAGGCGACGCGCGCCTATACTACGAGCCTGCGTGTGAGCGTTGAAGTGCTTTAGCCACTCAACTCTAAGCTCATTATTCGTCCAGCCATTGTCGCTGACTGCGATCGCCCAGTCGCGTAGGATATCCTCCTTATACTAGGCTAATAGGTGGTACTGACCAGCGAAGATAAGGAATAGTGGCACTGACCAGCCAGCAGCGCTGATAGCAGCAATCAGCGTTACCCACTCGCGATTGCCTGGCTGAAGAGTCTTTGGCCTGCCTCTCCTCTCTGCTCCTGTTATAACTAGCTGTGTTGTAATCTTGCCTATTATAAAGCTAGCTTTATTAAAGTTATAGACGTCCTTATTACAGATACCCTGCTTAGCCTTTGTCTCTTCTATAAGCTTAAACTACCTCTTTATTAATATTGTATCCTTACATAGAGCTTGCTGCCTATTGTATGCTTAGTTAAAACACGTCTAAAGACTGTCTGTACGCTTAACAAAGTTAGCTGGCCACTTCTGCCCAACCTGGCCAGCGCTGCGTGCAGCCAGCAGCTTATCAGCCATATCACGTGCAGCTGCGTAGGTAGGCGCAAATCCACGCTGATCTAGGTGAAGTATATA